GTAGTTTTAGTTTCAGCATGGGTTGAAGAAGCCAGATGTATAAATGAATTCCTTGAAAATTTGATAGATTCACAGCTAATTCCTTTGCATTTTTGTAACTTTACTTTCCCCCTAACTACTAGAGTGTGTTTGGTGTGTGATTTTTCTTTCTGAATAAATATGCATGAACAAATGTAAATAAAAGGAGAATAACAGAAGATGTGTTTTTATCATTATTTTGTTTTAATCACAAAAAGAAACTTGTATATTCAAACAAAACATAAGGTAAACAGTAATTATTTGAGCAAAATAATGCTTTAAAGAACTGAAGTGCCTTTGCTCAAAGGTAAACATTGTCAAACTGTAGTTTTATTTAAACTGAAAGTTCACCGTAACATTTACATGTACTTGCTAGTTACTTTCCCGCAAGTACTGACAACCCTTTATCAGTCTCTTTCGTTTGTTGAACACAAATAAATATATTCTGCTATAAATATGTCATATATTATGTAAACATGTCACTTTATGTCGAACACTTTGGGACAGAACCAACTTGCCCGCAAAGTACTGACAATCCTTTCTCAGTCTCTTTTGTTTGTTGATCACAAATAAATATGTCATATATTATGTAAACATGTCACTTTAAGTCGAACACTTTGGGACAAAAAAAACTTGCCCACAAAGTACTGACAACCCTTAATCAGTCTCTTTCGTTTGTTGAACACAAATAAATATATTCTGCAATAAATATGTTATATATTATGTAAACATGTCACTTTACGTCGAACACTTTGGGACGGAACCAACTTGCCCGCAAAGTACTGACAATCCTTTCTCAGTCTCTTTCGTTTGTTGAACACAAATAAATATATTGCGATATAAATATGTCATATATTATGTACACATATCACTTTAAGTCGAACACTTGGGACAGAACCAACTGGCTTCTTTTGCAGGTGCAAGCTGCAGCCCCACACATTTAAAATGGAACCAAACTGTTTTGCAATTTTTATTGTCACAAGCTACCATGTTGTCCTTGCTCTCAGGTCCACGACAAAGGCACCACAACTTAACAGCTGTTTTGCTCCTGCCCATCTTTGGTTTTGTTGAGGTGCGCTGTTTCTTGCGGAGATTTTCTGCTGGAACAAAACTGTCTTTGAGAGGCATCTGGCTTGAAACCTGAGTGAAGGCAGCACCAACGAGTTCAGGGAGACACACACACTCAAATAATAGGTGTGCTTTTTTGAGAACGGCACTCCACAGCTGGGGGTCAGGTGTAATACGCAAAACGACACAGTCTTATAAAGTCCACAAAATGAAATCACAATACTGTGCTTCAGCCACAAAAATCTGAGTTTGGACTTGAATGTAATATGGACTTGATCTTTTTAGTTGAAGCTTGCCATTCACAACTGTCAAACAGAAGTCTTTGTCACTGCATGCTTCCACTATTTTGCTGTCCCGGTACTTATAAGGGCACTTTATCTTTATGCTGCCTCTTCCACAGCAAGCACACTGCACTAAGCCATCCGGTGATGCTCCAACCTGAGGAAACTTGGGGTTAATGATAAACCCGCACTCTGTTATGTTCATGTAAGTATGATGTTTGGCATTGCACAGTTTATACTGTTTTCACCCATTTTCCTCATTATTCCTTCCCCAAGCAGTAGCAGGAAACTTGTTTGCAGTAGTATTGGGGTAACACACTGCCCTAACTGTTGATAGTGCAGGATTGTTTAAGTCAGACACAAAGACAGCATGCATATTAGATGCAGTAATTCTCCCAGCACGAAAGTGACACCAACTTGCACATCTGTGCTGCTTTCTTGTCTGTCCTTCGATGCTGTGTGCCTGCTCAGATGAAACATCAGCCTTGCAGGTTAAGGTTTTGCAGTGCTGGCGCAAAACGGACAGTTCACTGCCGTCCATTTTTTATCCCGCAGACTGTGCAGAGACTCAAGTGCTGAGAACGGCTGTACAGGGTCCACAAATGCCTAACAAGAAAAAGGCATGGTGGACAGAAAAGCAGCTTTAGGACATGCTTTTTCTATCTGCGCGAGGAGGGAGTCCCACTGTTCCTGTGTTGCAATGGCAAACATACACTTGTTCTCTGAAGTCCGTAATACTGGCACACTTGTAACTTCACCATTCAAAAGGCTGTTTAAAGACTTTCTTTTTGCCTTTGCTGAAGTAAAGTCTATTCTGTGTCCTGCCTCCGCTCCCACTTTTGTGATGTTCGTAGGTATCATCCAGTATGCAGGCTGGCCAGTCACAGTGGTTGTCTCCCTACATCGTACTACTGCCTTCAACTTAAAAAGTAGAGCTGCCACATGTGTGCATGTTTCTGCTATTCCTGCCATGCATGTGCAGTGACAACAGGATACAGCACCTGTTAAATTGATGATGGCCCAAGGCTTGAGTGGCGTGTCATTTAAACGCTGTGAGTGCAAGACCTGTATATAATACAAGAGTAAACATATTAATGTTGGATTCAATACACTTTTTAACAATGAAATCTGTAATGTATTTGACTAATAAAACACAATGTTAAGTTACTTTTTTGTTCTGTTTTGCTTTGATTACATTTATTGCTCATATTTGTATAAATACTTTCGACACAAGCATCTGTGTAATGATTTGCAAATGTAAATATTACATTGTATTTAGATATTAGAAAACTGCAATACACATTTAGATTTTATTACTCAATGATAGTGTTCAAACTAAAGCAATGTATATTGGAAAATTATTGGAACACTATTAAACAGTAATACATTCTAATTATGTATTGCAATGTTCTAATATATAACAACAATCTAATATTTATATTTACAAATCATTACACAGATGCTTCTGTCGAAGGTAATTTTACAAATATGAGCGATAAATGTAATCAAAACAACATTTATTTAAATATTCTGGACAAATACCATGACATTTTGTCATTTATATTATTATTATTTACAATATTATCAGCTTACCTTTGCTGTTACAACTGAGTTGTCACAGTCTGTCTGTAGAAATGAGTACAAATCCTGTACCCAGCCGTTTGTGAAGTGTCCATGGGCTTCTAAAGATTTGTAGTTTCTAAACTGTTCACTTGTGTATGCACTTACACCATAAACAAGGTAGTTTACGATGTCCAGGTAGGAAGTAGGAGGAAGGAAAGAGGGGTCGGCACTCCATTGTTTTGAAGTAATTTCGTATGGATCGATGTCCTGAATAAAGGACAGTTTTTCAAAATAGCGATCTTTGGCATTTTGGTTAAGTTTGTTGCGGTACAACGTCCTCTCCGTTTTCGTGTGTTTTTCTATCCAGATGTATACAAAACTTGTACGGCGCTGTTTTGTCTCTCGAGAGTTGTTGTGTTGTTCATAGAAACGATACCACCAAAATGGCGCATGTGTGACGTCACACACAACAAACGCACGTGACTGACAAAGACCGATTGCACCCAAACTCTAGAACTCTCTACCACGCTCACTCCGCTCTGCTAATAATATCTCTGAATTCAAATCCCGAAGATTTGATTTTATTACAAGAGACAAACTAGAGGTAAGAATGCATGAAGGAAATAAGAAAAAGGTGGAGTGGGGAGATTTTATACAATAATGGGGATGGGAGGCAAGGGAGAGGAGTTGCAATTTTAATAAAAGAAAACAGTGGGTTTTATGTAAAACAATATATAGTGACAAAGAGGGGAAGTGTATGGTATGTGAAATAAAGTATGAAAAGAAAAAAGTAATTATGGTGAACGTTCATGCCCCAACAAAGGAGTGCAAAAAGAACGAGTATTTTAATGTACTTAGAGATTATTTAAAGAAACATGAAAGAGTTATTATCATGGGTGATTTTAACACTGTTTTTAGTAAATTAGAAATGGCTGAGGGAATGGTTTTTAAAACGGAAAAGGGGAGAAAAGAACTGAAAATATTGATGGAGGAAATGAATTTAATTGATGTGTGGAGAGAAAGGAATGAACAGACAAAAGAGTACTCAAGAAGACAGTTAGTGGGGAATTTTTGTTGTCAAACAAGAATTGATTTTATTTTATGCACAAGAAATGTTGAAGGGTTTATAAGCAAGACCAAATATGAAGAAGCAAGTCTGAGTGACCATAAGCCACTTTTTATGAATCTAGACTGGAGTAATGTGAAAAGAGGGCCGGGGGTATGGGTTTTAAACACAGCGGTTTTAAAGAATGAAGACTATGTTTTAAGTGTAAAGGAAATTATTCAAAAGGAAAAAGGGAATGAAATCTATAATGAGGACAAAAGAATGTGGTGGGAGAACGTGAAGTATTTAGTTAAAAAGTTTACGATAAAATATTGTAGACAATTACAAAATTGTAAAAAATATAAGGAAAAGGAGCTGAAAGAAAAACTAGAAAACGAATTGAAAAATGAGAATGGAAAAAATATACAAAAGATAAAAGAACTGCAAGGAAGATTAAATGAAATGGAGGAGGAGAAATTTGAAGGTGCAAGATTAAGAAGCAAAGCAAAATTTACAGTGGAGGGGGAAAAGTGCACTAAATTTTTCTTTGATCTAGAGAAGAGAAGAGGGAAGTCAGAAATGATTAGAGAAATAAGGAGCAGAAATGGGAACATAGTAGAACAACATGAGGAGATTTTGGAAGAAATAAGATCATATTATGAGAAATTGTTTTGCACAGAGGGAATAAAAGAAAAAGAAAAAGGGGAATTACTAAATCTAATAAAATCAAGAGTAGAAGAAGGGGAAAAAAGAGAATGTGACGAGGAGATAAGAGAAGAAGAAATAAAAAGAGCAATTAGTGGATTGAACAAAAAGAAAAGTCCAGGAATAGATGGGTTGGGAAGTGAATTTTATATTGCTTTTAAAGATATTTTATCTAGGATTTTAAAGCAAGTATATGATGAAATTTGAGAAATCATTAAATGTTACGGTTTAATTAAGTTGTCTGGGGAAAATAAACGTAACACTTATAATATTAAATTATTACTGAGTAGATGGATGGAAAATACACCAGGACACCAAAATTTACATTCAATTCATTTATTCCTTTTATGAGGAGAAGAAAAATGAAGCCAACAAAAGAGAGGCTTACATGTGTGCGCTTTGTACAATGTATATATAATAATAAGAAGAAGAAGAAGAAAAGAAGAAGAAATACAATCAAAAGTTTTAGGGGAAAAAGGAACTAGAGTGGCGCCAAAGCAAAGAACTAAACAAAACCAAAAGCCACCTAAACTAGAACACAAGATCCCTCTCTAAACTTACTAATAAAAATCAAATTGTGAAAAAGAAACCAAAATCTTCAGCGTTTGCGAAGCAACACCTAAACTCCCTGAAATAATAAGCAAAAATACAAAATGTGGCGCTCACCCACTTACCTAGTGTTTCTGAACATTGAAGTTACCTACGGGCAAAATGTATGTGAAGTGGCTTAGTAAACTATTCCCTTTTCCCCAAAAAAGAATGATAAACTATTTAACCATGACTTAATTTACATCGATGTAGTTATTCAGAAACACAGAACAAAGCATACATTATGAATAGCAGCAAGCGAACACAAACCAACACGCACACACATAGCACTCTGAAAAACAAGGCGGGCCGGTCGAATTTAAAGTCCGTGGAACGAAATCCAATTGGTCCACGAGGAAACGCCCTAATGAGGAGTGACAGGCTCGGGATCCAATCAGCAGGTACCTAGTAGAGAAAAAGTAGCGGAACAAAAGGTGATAGGGCGAGACAAAGAGCGAATGACAGTCGAGGAGATGCGAAGAGAGCGAAGGGAGATAAGCAAAACAGAGAGGGAGAAGGCACAAAAATACAAACTCCCACGGACCGTAACAATCATCCTCCAGCCCCGGGCTACCTCTCGTAAGCAGGGTGAGAGAGGAGTATGAGCTCAGGTAGATCTTGATGAACTCCCCCGACTTGTTTCTGTTCTAATGACAGATATCCAGATGGCTAAAGGGAGATATATGGCTTCTAAGAGCTTGACTACGGTGCCAATTTAGAATGTTCAGTTTACTTAGGTTACGTGTTTTTGGGCTGTGGAAGGAAACTGAGGAAAACCCATGTGAGCATGGGGAGAATAAGCAAACTCTCCACAAATATCAACCAGTTCAATGAGGGCTCTTCTTGCTGTGACAATCTTTCTGTGAGGCAACAATACTAATCACTGGGCTGCTGTGTTGCCCATTCTAGAAAGGAGGAGGAGTAGGGGTGGGAGGGGAATTCCTCAAGATAAAGATAACTAAGGTTAGAAACTCTGGTTATTTATAGTGAGTTAGGAATCGTCTGATTGGTGAATCATGTGTTGGTTAATGTGGAACCAGCCGTGGACAATCATAAGCATGTGATCCTCTCGAAAGTAGTTTATAAATAAACCTCACGTCAATTAACAGCCAAACTACATGAAAAGGCTGCTGTTATGCATATACTCATGTTTGTGTGGACAAGGCCTTAATTTTGAGGACTCTGCTCTCCATTGTGAAGCTCCATGTGATTGCTGAGGCTTCTTTTATGTTTAAAGCCCTTTCCACACTCAATGCATATAAAACGCTCTCCTGAGTGAGTCTTCATGTGGTTCTTTATGGAGTATTTGTGTGTGAGACTCTTTCCACACAGATCACATGTGAACACTATGGTTCCAGTGTGACCATTCATGTGGTTCCTGAGGTTAGCATTACATGTGAAGCTCTTTCCACACTGCGCACATGCAAACGGCTTCTCTCCGGTGTGAACTATCATGTGGTGTTTGAGTGTGCTTTTATATGGGAAACTTTTACCACACTCTGTGCATGTGTAAGGTTTCTCTCCAGTGTGAATCCTCATGTGGAGGTCAAGATTTTGTTTTTTAACAAATCTTTTACCACACTGTGTGCAAACAAAAGTTCTTCCTCCATTGTGAGTTCTCATGTGGACTTCAAGGTTGCTATTTTGACTATAACTTTTTCCACACTGAGGGCAAGAGTAAGGCTTCTCCCCAGTGTGAATTCTCATGTGCACTGTTAAGTTTCCTGTAGTTTGAAAGCTTTTCCCACACTGTTGGCATGTGTATGGCCTCTCTCCAGTGTGAATTCTCAAGTGCACTGTTAAGTTTCCTGTTTTATGGAAGCTTTTCCCACACTGTTGGCATGTGTACGGCCTTTCTCCAGTGTGAATTCTCATGTGCACTGTTAGGTTTCTTGTATTATAGAAGCTCTTTCCACACTGTTTGCAAGTATAAGCTTTCTCCCTAGTGTGATCTCTTATGTGAACATCAAGCTTTGGCTTCTGACTGAAACTTTTTCCACATTGTTTACAGCTGAAATTACACCTAGGTTTGGATTTCCGAGGTCTTCCACGTGACAAAGTCTTTTTCGTCAGTGTAGGTTTTTCATCAGTCGTCATGTCTTGCTGTTTCTCTTCCATTTCATTCTGTTGATGAGTCTTTTCTTTCAGCAACATCAGGTCTTAAAAAAAAGAAGAAGTTAAATTTAGTATGAAGACTCAAAGCGATAAGCATGAAATGGATGTTTCACCCACAAATATAAATGACCATACCATTTACTCTCTCATTAGCTTTTAAACAATTCCTTTCTTCTGGAACACAAAGAAAGCTAACATTTGTTTTCACAATATCTTCTTTTGTGTTCAACAGAATCAACAAACCCCATAAAGGTTAAAAACCACAAGAGGTACAGTAAATGGTGAGGCTATTTTCATTTCTGTTTCATAAATATCTTTAAAGGGTTCCTATTATAAACCTTTATTATTATTATTATTATTTTTTTTTAAAGAAAAACTTATTAATATTATTATTTTTTATTTTTTTGAAAATAAGTCTTTGGTGTTCCCAGAATGTGTCTGAGGTTTTGGCTCAAAATCAGATCATATTCCTTTGAGAATATTTAATTTTGGTGGTCTGGAGGAAAACCAAGCTCTTTTTGCGCCTGTGGCTTTAAATGCAAATGATCAAATGCACTCGCTCAGGATTACTCGTGTTGAGTTCCCTCATGTGTATCTTCCACATGATTTAAACATTTTTAACTTGCTTGGAAAACTTGATTGGAGCAAACCCTGCATGTTCATAGCAAGTACGCATAATTTACTCTTCTATTTGTGAGTTTGCATTATTGTATATAACTTATGCAAATATTTCCTAGTACTGAGTTGAAGCTGGTTTAAAACATATGCTGGATAAGTTGGTAGTTCATTCAGCTGTGGCGACCCTTGATGAATAAAGAGACTAAGCCAAAGAAGCTTAGCTGAAGACCTACGTCGTGACATTTTATATACCTGCCAAGATGCAGAAATGCCATCTCAAAAGGTTACCTGCTGTTTGTCCAATCAGGGACAGTGGCATCTTAAATATACAAATAATAATGTTAACCCAGGGTTTGCCAATGTGAAACGTCGGTTAATGAAAACCCAGGATTATTTTATAACCCTTAGGGGCTTAAATTGGTTCTATAACAGTAAGTAGTTGCCATGGTAGCACACAACATAATCAATGCATCTGTGCTCAACCTTCAGGGTTTCATGACAGTAACGTGCACAAGCAAGTTATCTGGATTATTTTGACTGAACTCAGATTAGTTACATCAAATGATCTTCGAATTTCTGTTATGGAACCAACTTAAGTGTGGACGATTAGTTCGGCTCACTGAAGCCAGGTTTTCAACTTTAATCTCCACTTTTCTAAACCACTTTCATGAAACAGCCCCTGATCTCACATGCTATTGTTTTAGTGCTTCAGTTGCCTATTGGAGAAATGACCAGGAATAACGGTAGAAAACGGTCACACTACTTGCTCTACAAACAAGTGTATTCATGTTTATTCATACAAAGAAAAATAATAAAATAATAAAATATGACTTTGCAACATCAAGCAGCATTAGGCATGGGCCAGTATAAGATTCTGACGTATGATAACCTTGAATAAAATATCATGCTTTCACAGTATTGTGATTACTGCTCTAAAATATATTCTTTTAAATGTCTAGGTATAAAACAAACACTTTTTTTCCCTTTAAGCACAAAATATTTTCTTTTGAGAAATATTTATTTATTATATTTTGGAGCAGTAATCGTCAGGCTAAATCATTCAAATGAATCATTGACATCTGTTGTTTTCATTAGTTTCAAAAACAGATTGCTTTACGATTTGAAATGATATCTTTAGATATTTTTTCTGCTGGAGATAGTGTCTTAAAATGTAAAAAAAAAAACAACAAAAAAAAAAAACACTTGCATCCAGTTGAAGACAGAATTCAGAAGGGGCTAATAATTCTGTCCTTAAAATGGTGTTTTTCTAGCCGAAAAAAAAAAAAAAAGACTTTCTCCAGAAGAAATAAAAATATTATCATACAAACCGTGAAAATTTCCTTGCTCTGTTAAAAACAATTTGCCAAATATTTAAAAAAGAAAAAAAAATTCAATGGGGGTGTGGGCTAATAATTCTGACGAATTTTGGCGGTTTTAAAACCTTGACTTTTCCAAACCAGGCTACACCATGAAAGGAGTTATCATCCCTTGCGTAAGCAGCATAACAATGATTTTAGGATCTAAAAATTATTTCTTTAAAAAAAGTGTCAAACGCAAAAATTCAATGGCTGCGCCTGCTGGTACACAAAGAATATGGTCAATACTGACGAACTTCACACTCAAATTTTTGCATATCATCAGCATGCTGTAATCCATTTCTTAAGCAGAAAAGGTCATTTTTAGACTGGTTTGTTGGCCAGTTGTAGTCAGTGCAATGCTAAACGTTTTAGTTCCACTATAATTTGTTCCTTTTGTCTCACGTCGTCCCACAACAACATAAATATAGTTTAGATTACTGTACAATGTTTTATAATAATTTATTATTTTAGTATTTATTTAATTCCGCATATTTAAAATTGGGGGCATCCATATGACACACTTTTAACACAATAGCTGGTAATTAAGTATTAAGAGTATGATAATGATGCAATTCTAACTCAGATACTTTCTGTGAGAACTAGTAACATCTACTAAAATCAAGTTTAACCCAGAAAGAAGTTGAGAAAAAAGGGAATTGTGATCAATGTGACATATGCAAATGAAAAGTACTAAGCCAACACTATCACTGTAATAGCAGATATCTTCTTAGGAATACTGTAGGTCAAATATCGTCAGCTCAGTTAAACTTTTTTATATAGCGCCAATGCTCAAGGATGCTTAGAAGAACAAGAAAAGCAAAATGAACAAAACAATTAAAATGTCCTGTTTAAAATAAATAAACAGAAACAAAATAACTTCTATTCAACACTTACTTCAACAGTTTCTTTATATGAAAGTAATAACAAAAAGAAATCAAAGTAAGTCTGAGCAAGAAACAATAGCCACAAATGACCTGATTAAAACTAGTATTCCATTTTTTATAGTGATGTATTGTTAGAATGGAATGACATTATGCTATTTAATAAATTAAACCTTCGGTAATACAATTATTACACACTTTTCTGTTACTTTTTAAAATCTTTATATTGTCAGCTCAGTTAAACCTTTTATTCATTTATTGTTTTTATTTATTTTATATAGCGCCAGTGCTCATGGACGCTTTACAAACAGTAAAAGAGCAAGAAAAGCAATAACATTAAGAAGATAGAGAAAATGGGAAACTAATAACACATAAAAGAATGACAAAAGACACGAGAACAAGTGACGAAAGAAACTCATTCCTGTCTTTCAATGAGTGCTTATGTGCATTTAGGAGAACTAGGCAGCACACTCAGGGCTGCAAGAATGGATTTAATTTAGTATTCTTATTATTAAAATATATCTGAATGAGGATCAGATTTGGTGTTTGAGAATGAAAATCAACCTGTTTGTTCCTGCAGATCTTCCTGTTTGACTGTGAATGTTTCTTCAATCTTCACATCTTCACTCTCCTCTTTAATAAACGCCATCTTTACAACAGTGTGGACATCAGTCACTTCAGCAGGAAATTTTCCTCTGCTTTTGGACAATTTATCCTGTTTAAAATGAATAAAACAAAAAAAATGTCCTGTTTAAAATTAATAAAACAATGAACAGAAACAAAATAACTTCTCTTTAACACTTTCTTTATATGAGAGTAATTAACAAAAAAATCAGGTAAAATAGTAAGTCTGAGCAAGAAACAATAGCCACAAATGACCTGATTAAAACAAGCACTCAATTTCTCCTATACAGTGATGTTTACTTTGAACAGAATGACATTATGCCTATTTAATAAATTTAACCTTCATTAAAACACTTATTACACTCTTTACTGTAACTTTATTCAAACTTTATTCAGGTATGTTCTTAATTGTTTTGTTTGTTTGTTTTTTATTTTATTGTCCGCTTACAGCAATGTGTAGCACTTTTTTTTGCACAAGACAAATTTCCTCTTGTGGACAAATAAAGTTTATCCTATCTTTATTCAAATAATAGTCCTCATCACTGTGATTAAGATAGAACAACATTGTATAAAAGGTTAAAATAATATTGTTAACAGCAGGTACATCATTTATCGTTGAATGAAAAACCTGAAACTTTAATCAATCAGTTTTTTATCTGTGCAAAAGCTTTGACACAAACCTTTCTCCAGTTGAATCACAGTGCGGTAGCGGCACAGTCTTATGACATCACACACCACACCAAAATAAAAGTCTTTTTTTTGTTTTGCTTAGTCATGACTTATTGATACATTTCTCACACCTTTTATTTTCGATTTTACCTCATAACATTCTGGCTTTTCTTTGAAATGTCACACTCTATTGGTGCATGTAAATATGCTGCTTTTACATCCATGTCATGAACAATCAGATTTTCTTTGCATTAACACTCTTACACTAGTCATGTTAGCAGTTGGAGAAAAGACTTATCATAGTTCTCTTTGGCAACATACATTGTTTTTGCAAAAACCCATTTACCCACTAGACCTTTGCCTTTAGGTAGGTTGGTGAGAGCAAAAGTTGCATTCTTTTAACAATTGCATTTCTTCTACCATAGCTTTAACCTATTCACTTGCATTTACTGATGTAACCACGTCTTTGTATCTTTGTGGTACATTACAAACAAGTCAATAACAATAATCAATGTTGATCACATCACCTTCAAAACCACAAGCATAATCGCTTAAATAAGCTCGCAGGATTTTAACTTCTGGTTTATCTTCCACCGGTTTGTCTAAAATGAGCTCTTCCTTGGCACTTTGTGGGCTCAACTCTGGGTCTAATTTCACAGACACTCCAGGACTTCCTGATCTCAAAATCCTCCTCTACAACTGGAATCTTTGATTCACAATTTTTATCAGATACAAACTGAACAAGTCTGTGTTTCTGTACTTTTTTCATGTATGCTGGACTAAATACAACGTTGAACAGTGCATCCACGCATGTATAGATTTTACATTTTATAATGTTAGCATTCAGATATTATTTGAGTGTAAATTCAGCATGTGCAACTTACGTTTCCAGTCCTCAATGAAGAAGTGGGATGAAAAAATGGCCTCAGTGGGCTTTTCTTTGTAGGTATTTGGTAATAATCGCAATGTAGAAGTCAACAATCGTAGTTTGTCCTCAAAAGTTGTTCTCTTTTAGCTAAATAAGCTAATGAAGCCTCTGTTAGTGTACACTAGGCACTCGAGAATGATTGTCCCTCTACCTGTTGTTTCAATCTCCTGAGAACTCTGCTCATCTTCAGAACGCAAATGAAGACACTTTAAAAGAAATCAGAGAGCTCCTTCATCAGTCATAGACAGCAAGAGATCTGAGATGCTCAAAGTCCAGAAAAGGAACCAAAAACGATGTCAAAACACGTGACTTTTGTGGTTCAATTGTAATCGAGCTCCAAGAACATTTTGTGTGCAAGAAAATGGGGAAAAAAGCAGCCATGTTCAAAGTAGGAACTGTTGAACCATATAGTGTTTTTTTTTTTGTAGTTTTTTGCCCATGTATTCTCTTTATTTGCATTCAGCAGCAGAAACTCAAACAGATTTGGAACTAGAAGATGAGTAAATGACAGAATTGTATTTTTTTTTTGAACTACACCTTTAATGCTTCTGTAAGTAAAGGTAAATTAAATATTACTGAAGATATTGCTAAAGAATGGCAGGAAACATGGAACACAGATAATAAGTGACGACAATTCATGTGGAAAAAAAGAAAACCTATATAGGCCTATAAAGTTGTAGAAATAGAAAAGAAGAGGTCATAATTATGAGGATGAGATTTGTACTCAGATATTAAGAAGTAATGTTGTTGTAGTATGTCTACCTTTATAACCTTTATAAGTTTCTTTCCACAGCTACACAAAAGATGATATTTTGAAGACAGCTGTAAACCTGTAACCATTGACTTACATAGTAGGAAAAACAAATACTACTAAAGTCAATTGTCACAGGTTTCTTCAAAATATATAATTTTTTTGTTCAACAGAAGAAATAAATAAAACAAATAAAGGAAGAGTAATTGATGACAACTACATTTTTGTGTGAACTTTTAACTGTTAAAACTATCAAAACAGAGCCAACATAGGTTAATCTTTGAAAACCAAACTACTTCCAATATCATGTTAGGCCTAATGGGACCGCTTTTATTTTAAACCTTACTAAACCACACTGAAACATGACTGAACATTTTCACAAATTGATATTTATCTATAATAAATAAACCGTATTTTGTGGTCATTGGAAATTGGCAATAACTTTAATGTTGACATTAATTTAAACAGCAAACTGTTGGAGTGCTAACGTTACATAAACACTACGTTCAAAGAGGATAACATTATACAACTGGACGCATTGCTCAATTAAATGAATAACTAATCACTCAATGAGTCCAAACTTTTACATATAATGTTGAACATTTTAAGTAAAATCACTTTAAATACCAAATTATCACTTACCTGAAGCAAATGACAGGCGGGAAGAATGTTAAGCTCGCAGAGTAGATTTGTCAACTGAAGAGTGGTGTGGCAGATGTCTGCTAACGATAGACCTGTGTTCAGTTTCACGTGTTTTCCAAATGCAATCCCAAAGTCAGCCAGAAGTTGATGTCAACCGATGTCGGCCATAGCTCAGCCTTACTAGGCTCTTGTGTGTTTTTTGTTAACTGGCCCACATACTGCAAAAGGAGCTGTGAGCCAGAAGAAAATTCCCGCCTTTTCTGAATGTATGGCAAAACATATATGGTAATAATCTGGCCCATATCTGTAGAGCCATGCCATACCTCAGCCACATGTGCCAGCTATCACCCACATTTGGCCCAAATGTTCTTGCTATCTGGGGTTTTGTTTTCATTTTCTCTCTGTGAGAGCTCATCTGGAGTCACGTGTGGATTAACAGTGTACGCGACGCTCGACAACAATAACTTACGTGTCTAAGGAGGATTATTGTTTACCTGAGAGCTGTTCTCATCTGCAAACGCTGAGATCCGGATTCGCTTGTAGTCTTCTCTTCATAAAGACGCGGCTCTAGTTGCTGGTAATTGTCCTGCCTCTACAGATTTGGTAAGTGAGCGTCCAGTGCTCTTTGTTTATTCAGTTTGTTCGTATCGAACTAAGTTAACTATAGCACCAAGTGTAAACATGTTACCACCACAACTAAACTTTAACCTCGTGTAGGGTTTTTACCGCATTTTGTGACCGGAATAACACGCGCGGCTTTCTGACGCTACCTGCCGAGTGCATCTAAGTTTCCGGGAAATGCGGAGGGTTTTTTTCTCTCATCGCCGTGCGGTATCAAACATTGCATGAAAAATACACGCGTAGAGCAGATCCTCGAATCAAATATCTCGTTTGTCGCGAGGGGCATGAATGAATTCCCTGAATGAAAGAGCCAAACTGCAATTAAAGTCCATTTAATAATTTGGCAAATAATTAGACTACAGATGTCCATGTAGGTTAAACACCATCACTTTCTCCTGTGTGTTTATTTTGACTCTGAAACTCGCGCGTGCCCAAATAGACACTCCCACACCCTCCCACTTTAGTTCCTCTGAAAACTCCCCCTAAACAGAGCTGGACCAAACACTTTTCTGACTTTTTCCAAAGTAGAGGTGTGAAAACACCCTGCTGAAACGAGGGGGTTTCATGGCCCTTTAAATGTAAAAAAACTCAACAAGTGCTTTATTTCCAATACTGTAGCCTAAAACAAGCAAAACAAAGATCACATTTCCCAGGTAATTTCTCTGCTATGGTAAAGGGATATTATTAAAAACATATTGATTAATAGAAACATAAAAATAAAATTAATTATAGGTACATGATTACAACACAACAGTTATAAATAATTGTTATTAAGTATAATAAATATATATTAGCAAAAGGCATGCATTTCTGTTATCAGATGGGTAATTACACTGTAAAAAATTGCTGTTAAAAAACGGTCAGATTCTACGGTAAAATAATGTTTTTTAACTAAAACAGTAATATTCTGTTAAAAACAGTGCATTCTGGGTAACATTTTTGTTTTCGAGAAAGTAACCAACTGCAGAAAACTGTGAGCTAACAGAGTTCAGATTCGATGTTTTGAAGTCTGTGTTTGAAATCACACTTTGTGCCCTTGTTCACTATTTCATACACTAGTTAACTAATATAGTTCACCTGACAGTTTTAATGAACACTAATGAGTGAATTCAGACACTGATGAACACCTGCTGTTAATAATTACAATTACTGAAGAAAATAAACAAGAAACACAAACAGTGACTTGAGTTACAACATTAAATAAAATCAAATCAAATAAAACAGCTTCAGTCTCAGCAGAGGATCATTAAACAACTCTACAAACAACAGCAGACACACTTATTACTGACTGATTTGACTTCCATACTATTCTCATTGAGATCCAACAGAAATTAAGGTGTTTTTTGTGTCACCGTAATGGAGTGAGGGGCTGGTTTAGTTGGGCTCTTCACCCTTGAACTTATTAATTCAGACTCTCCAATTACTATAATGAGTTAACAAAATGCTTGTATTATAGCAATCAAGTTGGAAAGTCAATAAATAGAGAAATCTGTCTGAAATTAGTTCTGATAAGTGTTTTTGTTATAAATCTGGAAGAAGGGTCTCATGCAATAGATTTTATGCTTAGTTGCAGCTATTGATTTAAATAATGAGAAGTGGAAACAGAAAAGATACCTCTGTAATTACTTAACAGTTAAGAAATAACATATAAAAACAGTTCAGTTATGACAAATACACACTCAGACCTGATGAATCTGACCTTGTATCTCAACAATGGTAACATCTCAAATGTTTCATGCTGCAATGCATGCTGGGAGTGGCACGGTACAAATATCCCAGCATGCATTGCGGTATAAACAAATGTTGTATAATGGTCTAACAGTTTTCTTTATTTGTGTTTGATTCTGCTGTTGTTTATGTTTAGACTTTCAGTTGCCTGTTTGTGAGTTAAACTGTTAATTTTGTTAGTTGTCACCATTATTGAGGTTCATATGCTGATTATTGATGTCTCTTTGAGTGCGATTTACACCATAGAGCAGTGTTATTGTCCAAGATATTCTTAAAAACTTTCAGAAATCATTGCCATATATATACATATAATGTAAAACAATAAATTTAACATTGAATAGGAGCAGTAAATTTTATTATACTAAATGAGAACAGACTCTGCCATTTATAGCAACATGAACATCCCCAGATCTTATTTAGGTTTTTGGCTGGCTTGCCTCAACAAAGGAGTTTTTTAAACAAAGTTCTTAACAATTACAAAAAAACATTAGAGATGTTACCATTGTTGAGATACAAGGTCAGATTCATGAGGTCTGAGTGTGTATTTGTCATAACTGAACTGTTTTTGTATGTTATTTCTTAACTGTTAAGTAATTATGGAAGTATCTTTTCTGTTTCCACTTCTCATTAATTAAATTAATACCTGCATCTAATCAAAAAATTTATTGCATGAGGCCCTTCTTCTAGATATATAACAAAACATTTATCAGAACTAATTTCAAACTAATAGATTTCTCTAATTATTGACTTTCCAACTTGATTGCTATAATACAAGCATTTTGTTAACTCATTATAGTAATTGGAGAGTCTGTATTAATATCTTCAAGGGTGAAGAGCCCAACTAAACCAGCCCCTCACTCCATTACGGTGACACAAAAAACACCTTAATTTCTGTTGGATCTCAATGAGAATAGTATGGAAGTCAAATCAGTCAGTAATAAGTGTGTCTGCTGTTGTTTGTGGAGTTGTTTAATGATCCTCTGCTGAGACTGAAGCTGTTTTATTTGATTTGATTTTATTTAATGTTGTAACTCAAGTCACTGTTTGTGTTTCTTGTTTATTTTCTTCAGTAATTGTAATTATTAACAGCAGGTGTTCATCAGTGTCTGAATTCACTCATTAGTGTTCATTAAAACTGTCAGGTGAACTATATTAGTTAACTAGTGTATGAAATAGTGAACAAGGGCACAAAGTGTGATTTCAAACACAGACTTCAAAACATCGAATCTGAACTCTGTTAGCTCACAGTTTTCTGCAGTTGGTTACTTTCTCGAAAACAAAAATGTTACCCAGAAAGCACTGTTTTTAACAGAATATTACTGTTTTAGTGAAAAAACATTATTTTACCGTAGAATCTGACCGTTT